ACCCCTCCGCCGTGGAGGAAGCGTCCATGAAACCCCTACGGCGGCCACCGCAATGCGGATGCCTCTGGCCAGGGGGAGGATGGAGAAGTCGGGTTTGAAGCACCTAATGACACCCATCCCTCCCTTGCTCTTCCCTGTCCTGGCTTGCTCAAGCTGGGAAACCCTGTGGCAAAGCTGGGGAACCCTATGGCAAAGCTGGCAGGGCCTCTCCAGGACAAAGGCTATGAACTGGTGGCTGCATAGCTCAGTGCCAGCCGAAGGTGGGCCCTGATGGACAGGGGCTGGGGAGCAAAGCCTCCGGGCTCTGCTCTGCCACCACGAGCTGAGAGAAATTATTTTAGTGAATGCGTGCTGAGGGTTTATTCTCAGTAGGTCAATGTATAGGGCTGGCCCTGCCAAGATTTTTAGATTTTCAGGAGTGTCACAAGGGAGATCATTGCTCTGAGCAGTTTGCTTGATGTAAGAGACTAAAACATGCACGTATCACCACAGAGCGAGAAATTCACAGTGCACAGGGCACAAGGTACAACGCTTATTTCTTAAATAAATGTAGCTGCATAAAGCCGTAGTATTTTCACCTCTTCTAAAATTCCAACCAGAGGTTGCTTAACCACGAACTGATGGTGTGTGCAACTCCATTGCGAAGAACAGCTTTTTAGAGAGCAGAGCGGGTGCAGCCTGTCGCTAGGAAAACAGTGAATTTCTTCACTCTGAGGGTGATGGAGCACTGGAACAGGCTGCCCAGGGAGGTGGTGGAGTCTCCTTCTCTGGAGATATTCAAGACCCACGTGGACAAGGTCCTCTACAACCTACTGTAGGTGACCCTGCTTTGGCAGGGGGGTTGGACTAGATGACCCACAGAGGTCCCTTCCAACCCCTAACATTCTGTGATTCTGTGTGGTTCTGTTTGTGATGGCCCCACGCGAGCTGGAGGCTGCAGAGCTGGCTCCAGGCAGAGATGGATCATATGTGCGCTTTCTCCCTCCCGTAGGCAACTGATCGAGGGCACAGAGGTCCTCCAGAGACTGGAAGTCGTACCTACATATAATGAAAGGCCTACAGTAGCCTGCAAGATTGTTAACTGTGGGACCTTCGAGCCGTGATCGCCAGCTGGTTTTCCTGCCTGCTGTAAGGCAGAGCACTATTTTCCACTCAGCTTTTTACAGACCTCAATGGCTTTCACTTAAGGCAAAAATAAAAGCACTTCTTGCACATGTGAATAGCTTGGAAATGCTCTTTTGGCTTAAAACAAAAAAAGTTCATAAGCTGTTAAAAAGCACATTTACAGGACTATGGAAGAAGACTTGTGAACATAGCTCAGTGCCAGTCTGCAGTATATGGGAAATGGTGTTAATACGATGATTATATAGCGACAAGCAGATACAACAAAATGCGCATATGGCTAAAGCACGGGTGGCCAGATGGATCCACACCTACAGGGCTAAAGCTAACTGTTCCTGGCTAAATTCAGCTTCTGCCACAACCTCCACAGCACGTTTGCCCTGCCAGGTTTGCCCCGTACAGCTCAGATACCAGACACGGTCTGCATATGGTAACTCAGCCATCTCAGGGGAAAGGAGGGAAAAGAAACCTGTTTGCAGAACTGCAGCCTCTCTGAACGCCGTACGTGTGCTCCTGCACTCCGCACGATAAACCAAAAGTTACAGCCTTGAAATGGGGTTGGGCTGCGTCTGGCTAAAACCAGGAAACAGTAGAGCAGACGTAAGCTTTAAGTAATTATGTTTGGCAGATGGTCTCAACTAACAAAGACGTGACTATCGCCAAGAGCGCTGCGCTGAGCTGCCTCTGCTCCGGGGGTCCCCGTGCCAGCTGCCAGACCCCCTAAACCAGCGCCAGTGTAACGTGGGAAAGGCTGAATTACAGCAGCGTTAGGAGAGGCCTAATTTTGTCAGAGCTGAAGCCCGCACGTTTCGTGAGAAGTAACATGCTTAAATTTTTTTACTAAATGGGAATGAATGTAACAAACCAGCAAATGTTTGACTGACTGCCTGAAGAGGGCACAGGCCTAGAGTGACCTCTGCATGCTCTGCGTGAGTACAGAGGTCGTCTTAATTTTAGGAAGGGGATTTAGGTTTTTCTTTACTTACAGTACAAAACAAAAAGATTCCTTAAACAAAAATATCTGTATGTCTGTGGCTAGCTAAGAAGCCTTTAACACATTTTCTCCTTTTATTTTCTGAGTCAGTCTGCAGTCTATACAGAGACTGATATATAGGAACTGAGTCTTCTCCAGGAACATCTCAAATCAACTAAACTGCCTAGAGAATAATTATTTTCACTTCATAGTTCTGTGCCAAAGATGAAAATACGGTGTTGTATTTTTTTCATAAAATGACACATTCCCTGACAAATTTCTTTTCATAAGTAATAGAGACTATTGCTGTGAAAGGGTATGGCTTCAAAACTCATTACTGGGACGAAGGTTAGTGGCTCTTCTTTCTTGATTTCCTGAGTCAGTCTGCAGTCTATACAGAGACTGATATATAGGAACTGAGTCTTCTCCAGGAACATCTCAAATCAACTAAACTGCCTAGAGAATAATTATTTTCACTTCATAGTTCTGTGCCAAAGATGAAAATACGGTGTTGTATTTTTTTCATAAAATGACACATTCCCTGACAAATTTCTTTTCATAAGTAATAGAGACTATTGCTGTGAAAGGGTATGGCTTCAAAACTCATTACTGGGACGAAGGTTAGTGGCTCTTCTTTCTTGCATTGTATTCAAATGTTTAAAGATGAAAGTCGGAAAACTGATTTGGGTTCTGCAGGTTACAAAGGACAATGCTAAAATACCAGTTAATTGATTTTTTGTTTGCTGCTGGCTTGGTCGCCCACGGCAGGTCTGCTCTGTAGCATGGCTGCAGCCCGGTGTCCCCAGTGTCCCCACGAGGGACCCAGACACAGCACAGCATGTGCTGCGAGTCCAAACGAGCTGATCTGAGCGGCAGCCAGAGCATGGAAACTCACGCTCTGGCAGCGGGCAGTGGTCGGGATCCCTCAGGGCAGACAGACGCCTGGTCATGCCAGGTGCCAGAGAGCTGATCCTGTGCCCGAAGCCACAGACCTGATGGCTGGATGCACGGCATTCGGGGTGTCGCACACTTGGGGTCCGGGAGAGCCACACAGAGTGGCTGGGCAGGGGACAACTGGCTGGACTTACGCCACGAAGAAAACGTTCTAACGAGAAGGGGAGAGTACAACCAGGAAATGTTTCGAATTTCAGGCATAATGATCGTTCAGGCAAGCCGCAATTACTGTACTGGCATTGGTCACGACAGGACACTCTGCCAGAAAAAGTGTGGTAAGATCTTTCATCCAGTATTAAGGAGGTCACAAAAAAAAAGTGTCTTTCAACCCCGGTTCCCCAGCGCCTGCAGGCTGGATGTGCTTAGGGAGCCCCAGGCGATGAACAGTGAAACAGGAAAGGAAGAATCATCTTAACCTCAATCCAGAATGAAGTTTTCTGCCATATTTTCTACTGCAACTCACATCTCTGATCAAGTCACTAGGGATGTCCTGCCTCCTCTGAGAGCCAGACCAGAGAAGCAGCACGGGCAAGCATCCAGAGGCCCTGCAAGCCCCTAGGCCGTGCAAGCCCTGAGGCGAGCCACGAGGTCTCCAAAAGGCTGGGTGATGCTGGGGCAAGCTGCAGATGGGGAGGTGAAGACTTCCATTGTCAGCTGCTGGTTTTGGAGAAGTTCCCTTCCCCAGCAACCATATACCGAAACTCCCTTCTATAAAGGTGTTCCAGTTTTGGCTGAACCAGAACCAATTTTCTTTCAGTGTATTTTCCTTTCAGCCAAGTTCTTCTAAGTAACTGCATTTTCCTGAAGTTGGCTGCATATTTTTCAGACAGCGTCCGCTCCAGAGCTGGTAACACCTGGTGTTTATAGCTTTACTGAGCTAGCGGTAGGAATGGAATGAAGAAAAGGCCCACATTCATAATTATTTCTGTAGCAGCCAAGGTCGTTGATAGACTTCTTATGTTCCGCAAGTGAGGGGTCGTAAAGGGTCGCATTTGCAGAGAAGGGTGGACAGAACAGGTGACCTGATGGTGACCAACACGGTATTCCATGCCATGCACGTCATACTCAGTTTAAAGCTGGGGGATCATGAGGGGCTCGGTCTCTTTGTCCATGGCCAGCTTCCGAAGAGGACCCTGCTCCTTGTCCTGCCTGTGATCCTGATCCAGATTCCGATCTGTGCATCCCTGAGTCCACTTCCTGTCTACTGGGGAATCAAGTCCGGGACTCCCTAGTGCCTGCCTGGCATCCGGGAGACTCAATATTGGTGGGAGACTCAATATTGGTTCTGTATATTTTGCATTATTTCTCTTATTAGTAGTAAAGCTGTTTTAATTTCCAGTTTGTAAGTCTCTCTCCCTTTTCCTCCTTTTTCCCTTCCCCTGATGGGGAGAGCGGGGGTCGCGAGAATCTGCCGTGTATTGCCGCCCTGCTCCCGAGAGCGACAAAAGGGCAGACGGCAGCAGCCTGCATCCTGAGAAAATTATTTTTCCAGATTACACAGTGTTTTATTTACGTAATGTGTCACTGCTGTAGGAAAAATTGGTGTCTTTCAAGTTTTGCTTTCTTACAGTTTTACGCTGAGCTTCTTACTCCAGGGAAACACTCTCTTAGGAGCTGCTCTAAATGAAAAGTGCTGAAAGCAGCCCTCAGACTACCTACAAAGCTCCTTTCTCCGTAGAGGCGTGTGCGTCACAAGCGCAAGGACAGCTCTCCCGCCCCACTCAGAGGGGAAGGGGAAGGTGAGAATTTCAGTTCTCTGTGCGGTACCCAGGAGTCGTGACAATGACCCAAGAGGCTACACTACAAACAAAGCTTTACTTGGAGTTCAGCGGAGTTACAGAAGACGGTAGCTTCGCAACTTCGTAACATTACTTTTAGAGCAGTGGGGTCAGAAGGGATATTGACTTGGCAAAGCTTGCAACAACATCATGTCCGATTTTACAAAACCCCGAAATACAGCAGATCGGCAAGCTTTCAACATTACCCTTATGTGCCTAGAAAGTTGGAGACAGAGAGGAAAACAAGAGGGAAAAATCAAAGATATCCCCACCCTCGGATCCAGAGATGGTCTCTGCTGGTAGTCAGGGTCCTGCAGCGATGGGTGCGTGCCGAAGAGCTTGTCCACTCCCCTTTTCATTTATTTCAGGGTTGCACAAGCCTGGGTGCTCGGTCATCTCCCACAAATCGAGCACACCTTGGCTAACACGCGGCAGAACATTTACACCGTTGGAGCAACAGCTACCAGTGCTTTCACAGTTCCGCTTAACCACTCTCTTTCCCCATCGGTCCTTACCTGTCTCGTCTCCATTTCAAGCCGCAGCATCCTCCCTCTTCACTGCGCACGTTCGGTGAATCAGGGCCAGGGTCTCCAGCTCGGGGGCTGTGATTTTTAGTATTACAATGAGGGTAGTTCAACTAAGGACACACAAATTCTCGGTTCTGCTGCCAAGTTTGCAGCACACAGAAAACATTCTGATTAACTGTTCTTCTCCAGGTCCAGCTGCTCCAGCACATCCTTGGTTAGGGACACCAAGGGTTTGATCTTCTCCCAGGGGTGACCCAGTGTCCTCGGCTGAGCAGGTCTGTAACCAGGAGATGTTCCTTACCTGGAACACCAGCTACTGTTCAACAGCAATTAATCAGCTAAGTTTCACAGTCTGCTTAGTTCGAGCGTCTCTGTCTCCATTTCTCAAGATGGAGATTTGAGACAATTGCTCACTTTGATCTGGGGCCTTACAATGGTGTGCTAGTAAACCACGGGCGGTAGGCTCCAGTCATTACCCCTTACTAATCTAAGCACAGACCAGATGAAATTTGCAGCGTGAAGTCATGAACTACGATGTTATTTACCTAGTCTGAGGTCAGAGGGTTTCTGAATCTCACCCAGGAGGGCTGCTAAGGTCAACAGAAATTGTTAGGTGGCCCCCCAGCTATGCAGGTACTCCGCACCAATCTGGGGAAGCCCTGTGACCTCCGAGGTGTGTGTTCTTTTTAATTGTACCAGGTGAGCCTCAGGCAACGCATCTCATCTTCCTACAGACCAACCTCGCTTTGTTGTGGCTGCCCCATCCCTGGAAGTGTTCAAGGCCAGGTTGGATGGAGCTCTGAGCAACCTGGCTTAGTGGAAGGCATCCCTGCTCATGGCAGGGGGGTTGGAACCAGATGATCTTGAAGGTCCCTTCCAACCCAGACCACTCTACGATTCTGTGATTCCTTTCCAGGCCGTCGTGGCTCCAGCTCTCTGCTTTGTCCTTCGTGTACTTATTGCCTGGGATAAACTTAACAAAACCGCTGTTGATCCCCAGCTGTAATTCAGAGACAAAAGAGTTCCTACTATCAATTCCAGAGAGAAAAAAGATACTCCAAAGCACTGGTTTTGAAAGAACTTTACTCAAAATATCAACTACACAGCATATCAAATGGATCAGAATGATGCGATACAGCTGTAGCATGAAGGAAATGGGCAAGTGGAATGATTTTGCAAACTTAATAGAAAGAATCTGGATACTGTAATCCTGGTAAGGTTTAGGATGTTAAGAGGCAGTAAAGGGTGGCCAGCCCAACAGAGCTCAGTCATGTCCGTACCTCGG